AAGTACACCTTTCTCATTATACTGAAATGAGCAATCTTGAGTTTTTTAATAATTTATGAAATATTTCATCAAACATTACGAAACTGACCCATTTTTCACATAAAAAAATTTGTAAAAAATAAACATTTGAGTTTTTTACAAAACGTTCATTTCAGTATATAATAGCCATCATTATAAATATATAATAAGAAATTTACTTAGATATATATATATACATATATACCTGTGAACAGTAGTTTCTTCAAAAAAGGTACATCGAACATCAACATTTACATTTTGAGATAAATTGATTTTAATGTATAGAGTAAGACTTCTAATCGGCTAAGAAATAAAGAAAATAAAAGGCTCAAATTACAATAAAAGGTACATATTTTGGTTTATACCAGGCGTTCAACTTTTAAGCAAAAACGAAGTACTTTGTTTGCATTTTTTGGCATTCAAATGGGCGTGGCCCACTTTTTCAATCATTTTTCAAAAATAGGTTTTAAAAGCTTCTAATTACCCTAGAGGTTAAAGTAAGGTATTTTTAGAAAGGTTAAAATCTATAAAATTTTTTAAAATGTAAAAATCTCAAATTGTCAAAAAAAATATGATTTTAGCTTTCTAACACGCCTTAAAATTCCCTTTTTCGAAATAAAGGGTGTTTTTTTAGAGGTACAGAACTTTAAATTGCAATAAAACAACGATGTATTATTCGATTGACATGAATTTTTTTTATTCGAAAGATAATCTTGTGGCATTACATTTTAAATAGGATTTCTAGTATAGGACTGTCACGGCTGGCTCGGATGTAGTCCAATCTGGACGTCCAATTTTCGATGACTTTTTCCAACATTTGTGGCCGTATATCGGCAATAACACTGCGAATGTTGTCTTCCAAATGGTCAAGCGTTTGTGGCTTATCCGCATAGACCAATGACTTTACATAGCCCCACAGAAAATAGTCTAGCGGTGTTAAATCACAAGATCTTGGAGGCCTATTCTCAGGTCCAAAACGTGAAATTAGGCGGTCACCAAACGTATCTTTCAATAAATCGATTTTGGCACGAGCTGTGTGACATGTTGCGCCGTCTTGTTGGAACCACAGCTCCTGGACATCATGATTGTTCAATTCAGGAATGAAAAGTTAGTAATCATGGCTCTATACCGATCACCATTGACTGTAACGTTGTGGCCTTCATCGTTTTTGAAAAAGTACCGACCAATGATTCCAACAGCCCATAAAGCGCACCAAACAGTCAGTTTTTGTGAATGTAACGGTGTTTCGACATACACTTGTGGATTAGCTTCACTCCAAATGCGGCAGTTTTGTTTGTTGACGTAGCCATTCACCCAGAAGTGCGCTTCATCGCTAAACAAAATTCGCTTATGAAAATCGGGAACAACGGCAATCTCGTTTTGGGCCCATTCGACGAATCTCTATGAGGCGTGAGTCTATTCATGATGAATTGCCAAAGCAAACTGAGAATAAATCACTTGACAGCTGTTAAATCGGTCGCCAACTTGGAAAGTAATGCCAACTTAAACTTCTATACCTGGAAAAAAACACTGTTTATCTTCTACGTTATTCAGTCTCAATTCACAACTCATTTACACAATAAACTGAGTGCAAAATAAATGATGTGACTGCGAGTGTTTCTCAATTTAAATAAAACATTTATTCTTTACTTGGATGCATAAAAAAGGTTAAATATTATCGCGTACGCTGATCACCGTCTCATTTCTCCAAACGCATCTAGAACAATTCGTTTTTTTTCGGAGCGCTTTTCTTTCCCCTGTTGCCACATGAGTGAAGAGAAGCCCAAAGGTGCTCGTCCGTCATCGGGTCGTTCCCCTCTTTGCTCCCTCGCACACATATCCTCTCGGGTGCTTTCGCAGCACACGTCTTTGCACCGTCGGATGGTATGTTTCCTCACCATTTATCCCGGCTTTGCATAATTATTATATAATAAAACTACATCTGTATTCTTGATCTTTATTCTATACCCCAGTATGCTTTGCCCCTGAAACATAATTACTTCAAATATTTTCTATTGCAAAGCATCCTGAATCATTTTGGTAAATTGCTTTGGAATGCCAAAACTACAAGGTTCTCAACTCCTGGTAAACAGTGTTTGTCTTGGCAGCATAGAGTATCTTTAAATCTAAACATAACTAAGAGGTATACCCAACTCTTTCTTTTTTAATTTTCTTTTTTCTACGATTTTGAAATAACATGATTCAGTAATATACTTTCTTACACGAATTTTTTGTTCTGTCATAAATCTTCCCGAATTTTTCTTTCTTTAAAAAAAAAAATTATTCTAATTTTAACAGATAAGAAGATGGTCAGTTTATGCCCACACATGGCTTAGTGATTTGGTCAACTTCAGATATTTTACTTTGTTTTTCGGAGTTCCGGGGATACCCGCAAAAATTTTATAATCACTTTTTTTTCTTGATTTTGTTGTATTTAAACTTGAACACAGCATTTCATTATTCAGTATAATTATAATTTGTGTTTAAATGTTCAGTCCTAAGGATACAATAAATAATTTCAAAAGAAATTTAAAAAATTGATGTGTGTGTGTTTCAATTAAAGTTTTTTTTTAATTCGATGGGAAAATTCCCAGTATAATTTGCGTTGAGGATCATTTTTAACACGTTTCATAAGTTTCACTTGTATGTAACAAAATCTTTTAACTCGATTTTTATCCACTTTAAAAGGTCAGATTCAATAGATGTCCTAATGGAATAAGAAAATATATGAAATCTAATTTAATCAAAAGAAAAACAAAAAAAAGGTTCTATTGTATAAAAGTCTTTAAAGATCAGTATTAACTTATGCATAGGGGAAACTTCGTCCATGTCTCGAACAGATGAGATCATGATAAGTATCTACGAAAGGAAGATTTTGAAATTCATTTTTGTTGGAATTCAGGAAAAGGGAATGTGGCGAAGAGCATCAAATTTAGAGCTCTATCAATCATATAAAGAATCCGACATTGTTAACTTGATCAAATTACAACGAATTAAATGGGCAGGTCCTGTTGTCAGAAGGGACGAAGACCGCACCACTAAAAAAGTCTACAATGCCCAACCAATTCGCACACGAAGAAAGGGCAGGCCAAATCTTAGAGGGATTGATGGCCTAGAAAAATATCTTCTAGTTTTGAGAACTAAGAATTGGAGAACACTAGCTTGAAGAAGACTTGCCTGGAAAAGGCTTCTTCAAAAGGCCACCCTGGGCTGTCGAACCACTCAGGAAGGGGAAAAAAAGGTCAGATTAATTCGAAATTTTGCACACTTCTCAAGGACCGATTATAATACAATAATTTCATAATTTTGCTCCATTGTTCTGATCAGGATCATCAGAAATAATGATTTTCAGCTTTGGTGTCTTATTTCATATATCATTTCCACAATTGGCTAATTTCCTATACCATTTCCAAATTTGGCGACTAATTTCAGATTTGACAACTAAAAGATTAAGTTAGAACCTTAAAAATGTTCTTTATGTGAGAAACGAGTGGGTGCATCAGCAATTTGTTACCATTATATAAACAATTGTCTAGTTTTCTTGAAAAGAGAATTAAAAAAAATGACTCGTGCATGTGAGGAAAAGAAACAATTTATGTTCTAACCGATAAATAAAGACATCTTTCTTTTTAGTTCGATTAACTACGAAAGCGTGCTTTTTAGTTTTTGAAAACTATAACTTTTTTTTTGTTTTTTGCTATAAAAATGTAATATTGATCCAGTTCGTAATAAATGTGCACACTTGTTATCAAGTAGCGATGAACTGTTGTTATATTTAGTAGTTTTATTCCTAATTTCAATTTGAATGTTTATACTCGGATTGAATTTTCACTGCATACTCATTTTAAATTTTTGCAATAAAAATTCATTGTTTCTGTTTTATAAATATGAAACATAGATCCTATCTTTTTTTGGGAGGGGGGATATTTAGAGTTTTTTTATTTTACATGATTTTTTAAGCTATGGAACATATCCCCAAATTTACATTATATTGCGTGCGTTTTTGTACACGATTTTTTTTCACGGTTTTCTAAAGAACGTATCTACAGTGTAAAAAAAGAAATGGGTATATATTTCATCAAGGCTACGTGATAAAGAAGCAAAACTTTTGAAGAGAATAAGCCATTTATTCATTTAAGAAAATTGTATCCATCATTGACATCATGCATTTTATAATCATCCTGAAAATTCAAGATGTAACTAAATTCTTGCTTAAGAAAAATTGCTTCAAGAAAAAGTAAGGGCCAAATAGTACGAAGCTTTCCAGAGGATATAAAATTTTAAAATATTTTATGCATAATATAACGGCTCATTATGCAAAAAGCCTTCGGTTAACAGATGTACACTATTTCGCACATGTTTCTTGGCAATCTTCTATAGTTTTGAAGTTGTTCTTGTTGCCCTGACACCCTCCATAAAGGAATTTCTCGCATTTGTTACTGTGGCTGTCGTAATAAAACCGTGGCATGGCAGCTCGACAGGGCCCTGTATTTGGTGGAAGCGAGCAGAAGTCGTTGTCAGCTCCTGATCAAAAGAAAATGTATAAAATTATAAAAGAATCCAACAAAATTCACCGCAAACATCTCTGTATTTTCAATAGCTTGGGCTGCGCGATCGTTGAATGCTTAAAAAATAACTGTTTTTAGAGTTTTGAAGAAGAAGCTTGACATGAAAGCTCATTTAAAAATCATGAGAGAGAATATTCATAAAGATTCATAATATATATATATTCATCTAGAAACTTAAAAACAACGGAATAATTTTAACCAGTTAACTGTGAATGAACGAGTATATATTTTTAAAAAGTAGTGACCATTGGCAATTTCAATTGTAATTTTTGAGAAAAACAGAACATAATTCTCAAATTTTAAGCTGTTTTTAATACTTTGAGGCCAAACCAGAGTGAAACAAATATGAAAAAAATTGAAATACTTAAGAAGAGCTCATGGGTCCCTGTACGCATCGGTTGTAACAACGTATAGTCAGCGGTAGCCTAGTGGTCCAGGTAGCGGACTCCTGCTCGGCGTGTCATGAGTTCGAGACTAGTACCACTGAAGACCCGCCGTGTAGGCGAGGGATGCACGTTAAATCTTTTGAGAGCTCAAACGTCCTCCCTTTGATGTGGTGTGTTAGTTAGGAGAGAGGGTGCTAGTTCAGGTGTCGTTCTCGTCACTTGACAGTGATTCAAAAATACGATGTTCGTTATTAAATCATACTATATGAATGTTTTATACAATTACTATTATATAAGCTGTATTATAAGATCATTATTATATACTGCATAATATTATTAGTACATGTAACTTTTTATTACATTATGCTGTTATTCATTATTTATTGATTGTGATCTTGGTTATTCTCTCAATATCTTCCTACATTCTTCTTTTGAAATAAATTTCGATGTATTTCAAAATAATTTTTTTTAAATTATCTTTCTGACGATTTAATACCGCTGGGCCACCATCTTGGATTTCATTCCGGCGACAACAAGCGCTGCTTGGTGTGATTCCTTTACCGCGCCAAGCAGCGCTTGACGTCATGCCCCGTGGTATCAAACTAGCGCCTTTATTTCTATGGGATAATGTCTTTTAGATGTTAGCCTATCCGGTATTGCCATTAGTGACGCTGAGTGGGCTTGGGTTCGAATCCCGGAGAAGGCCTAGATGCTTGTAAACGTATAGCGCTTTCACGGCATGGCTTAAATAACCTTCGAGTCGTAAGTTCTCTCGTGAGGTCAGTGGGAGGGGGAAAGAGGTGTTAAGGCCCTGACCCCTCCAAAGGTGTTCTCCCTGAAAATTGAGGGGGAACCGAGCAAAATCGTACTATGACCTCCATGGTGCTCAAGGCTAAGGGCAGACGTAAAAGTCTAGCTCTGAGCCGCGATGGATTTCGTGGGCCTTGATTTGTTGTCACTGCCGATCAGGTGGCATAAGTAACAACAACAACAGATGTTAGTCTAAAAGGGACTAAGTGGAAAGTCGGAAAGTTGATTTTTAACAAGGTTCCCTTAGGTAGTGTCAACCAGGAAACTAATGCGTGACACCGACTAAGCGCTAAGCCCATTGATAGCTGCTCGTCCGAAGTTATCAAGCGATCGAGTGGTGTAAATGCCGAATGTTTGATGTTAGAACATTGTGCTAACATTAGCGTAATGGTCCAATGCCGTGCTGCCTAAAAAACAGTTCTTTTATTGGGGTGGGGAAGATGCTTTCTGGTAAGAGGCCTGTGATCAACCCTACAGCAGCTATTTAATTCACGTTTTTCTGGTGTTCCATTGGCAAACTCTAACTTTGTATAGTTCGGTTAATACCACTCCGCAGCAGGAATTCAAATTCTTACCTTTAGAAGTATTTACTTTTTCTTGCCTTTTTCGTGTATTATGTATGTAATAAATAAGTACGTTAGCCACATTAATGTCAATTTTTGAAGGTGTTAGCAACATGATTTTAAATAATAAAATAAGTATAAAGGTTTATTATAAGCGTTCATAAAATTTAATTTGTATAGTAATACTCCGTTTTTGTAGCGTTATATTAATTGTTCATGCCTTTGAGTTCTGTGAGGTGGTTATGGTAGCCTAGTAGTTATGGTCCCGATTTCAAGCCCGGAGTGTTTCTGGTTCGAGTACTGGTGCCACTGAACACTCACCGTGCAAAGGGGCTGATGCACGTTAAATCTGTCGAACCTCAATGTCACCCCCTTGGTGGGGTGTGGTATGTAAGAAAAAGGGGTTGTTAGCTCAGGTGTCATCCTCGTCTCTCGACCGAGGCTCAAATTCTGAGATCCGCGCCACCAATAGCCCTCGTGTTGCTTTATATCGCCACTCCAATATAGCTTTCATTCGAGTTTCATGAGCAGTAAGCGTTGTTCATAAATAAAGTAAACAATAATAAATGGAGAAAAATAGTGAAAAATCAGAAAAGATTGGATACAAATTTTAAACATTAGCATGAATTTCTGACCTTTCACTTAACTGCTTAAATTATTGTTAACCTTTTTATTTTGTGTGAGCATAATTTATGTACATAATAATAAATAACAATAAAATAAACATAACAATAAATAACATATAATGGTAATAAATAAGAAATCCATATATTTATGAACGTGCAATGCTCATTAATTATATGCAATTTCAAGCATTGACAGCATTTAACTTTCCAACATTAATCATTTAAAAGCTTGAAAATACAGTTATATACACTGCTGGACAATTGCTAAGGACGGATAACACTATCATCCATAGCTACTACAAAATGAAAGGAAGAAAAATGTGGAAAATTAGAATAAGTGCGGGATATTAGTAAGAAGAAGTATGAGTATGCAAATTTTTTTCCACGTCTGTTCATCACGTGATAGCGTTCATAAGAGCTTTAAAAGTTTTGACGCGTGTGGACAGTTGTTGTTTCAAGTCAAAGTTTTACAGGAAAGATTTAATAGACGAACTTAAAATTTTTGGCATGTCTTCCCGACATGACATAGATGATTTTATGCGTGGCCGAATTATTGGAAAGATCGAAGAAGGGCGAAAAATAACAGATGTTGCCAGGGAGTTCGACATCGCTCACAGCGTTGTTTCACGGCTGTGGAAGTCATTTAAAACTACTGGAATGTGTAGTAGATGGCACGGGGAGGTCGTGTTAGAAGTACGACGCCTGCAGAAGACAGATATATCGTCCTATCAGCAAAAAGGAACAGACGCACCACAGCTCAGCAGGTGGCAAATCAGTTTCTTGCTGCCTCAGGAAAGCAGATCTCCCGAAAAACTGTTGCCAGACGTTTGAGGGGAGGAGGACTATACGCACGCAGACCTGTTGTGTGTGTCCCATTGACCAGACAGCACCGTACTGCCCGTTTGCAATGGTGTCGTGAGCATCACAATTGGACTGAACAGGACTGGGCATGCGTACTATTCTCAGATGAGAGTAGGTTCAGTCTGTCATCGGATTGTAGACGCCAACTGATCTGGCGCGAGAGTGGTACTGCTTATCGTCCAGAAAATATCCAGGAAAAGGACCGATATCCGACATGCAGTATCATAGTGTGGGCCGGCATCATGATCAATGGCCGCACGCGCCTACATGTGGTTGCGAATGAAACTATGACGAGCCAACGATACATTGATGAAGTTCTACTTCCTCATGTTCGTCTTTTCCGAGGTGCTGTCGGTGATAAATTTGTTTTTATGGACGACAACGCAACATGTCATCGAACACAAGCTGTTCAGGATTGTCTAGACAGCGAGGGTATTGAACGTCTCGTATGGCCAGCGCGTTCTCCAGATCTAAACCCCATTGAAAATGTGTGGGATGCTTTGGGGAGGCAAGTTGCTGGTCGAAACTATCCTCCGACAAACAAGAACACCTTCATCCGTGCACTCACAGAGGAATGGGATAAATTGCCTCAAAAGCTGCTGGATAATGTTGTGCAAAGTATGGTACGACGTATGGAATGTTGCATCACACTCCACGGAGGACAAATCCCGTACTGATACCTTTCTTTAAGGTGCCTGCTGACTTTTAGATGCATTGTTCTATTTCTCCGTACGCAGATCAATTGAACTTTTTTTTTCTTTCGGATGTTTCACAGCTTTTGTACTTTCCAGAACAATAAATATTCTTTATTCTAATGTCTGAACAGTGTGGCAACTATATTTTATCCTACTAGGCCTCATGTCTCGCTTAATGTTATGCTACATAGCAATTTGTGATCCGTCCTTAGAAATTGTCCAGCAGTGTATAAGAGTAAGCCACTTATATTTTGCATACAACTTGAAGTCAAAAGAACAAAATGTTGTGTACGCGAAACCAACATGAAACGAAAATAATAAAAGCAAACGCCATGAGGTAATAAAAATATAAAATTAATAATAGTGTTACAAAAATAAACACAAAACGATACTTAAATATGCATTAACTTGTATCTCAATGCAATTATTTAATACATTAAGTAATGATTATTTTCTTTTTTTAAGACGAATCAGTTATGCAAATATATTTAGGTGAACATTAAAAACGAAAACAAATAACCTATAGACAAAATAGCTATTAAAACGTCAATGAAACTTATAAATATTGTTCTGATCATTCAATCTTTGTGTATTTAATATTGTACTAGAGTACGCGTAATTATTTACAATTTAATTAATATTAGACTAGAACCTAATTACGAAGAGAGAATCTCAAAAAAGCAATGAATTTAATATGCGTGACTATTTACAAATATAAACTAAGATGAAGTTTAAAGATTGGCATGTTTTTTTCTGCATCGTTTTTATTTAATATATTTGACTATATTTTAACAGGTAATTTAAGTACCAAAAGAGCATGCATGTGTTACCGTTAAAGTGTGAAATCCATTATTTCACATAGAATAACTAGGTATTTCATGAAATAACTAGACAAGTCAGTTAAAGAACATAAAATTATTGAATTCTGCGATTTAACTAGGTATTCTGTAGAATAAAGATTACTTAATCGTTAAAGTATGAAATACAGCACTCGCAGTTCTAGTTGCTTTAGGAAGGATTTTTCCGATTACAAACTTGAGATGGCCTAATAAAACAACTGTACTCTGGATATCAATTCAGTATATGTCAGCGAGAATTAATTTCGATTGAAGAAGTTCCAAATATTGACACTACGCTTCAATCTGTTGCAACAGTTCGAAGTTGTGGTCCTGGACAAGGAATTAAAAAGTGCTCGTGTAAAAAAAATGTGTAATAGTAAAAAGTGTGCTTGTTTCAAAAATAATAAGCAGTGCAATCCAAAGTGTCATAGCAGCAATCCTTTCTCTAATAAATAATGAAAAGTAAAATAAAGGTATCGCATGAAATTTAAATTAATACTCTCTTGCACTTTTGTATTAAAAATTAAATTTACACAATGTGTTTAAGAAGCAATATTTTTTCTTCCCATTATGTATTTTTGTAGATAATATTTAAATATAATCTATGTTTGCAACACACATACACATATTCTCCACGCCACCACCACCCCTTTCTGTATAATTAATGTTTGCAATATGAGCAATAATAAATTATATATATCATCTGCT